AAAGCGGATCTTTAGTGTAGGGGAGTGAGGAGGCAGCAACAAGCAGGCCGTCGGGCGTCGAGACAGTGCCGGCGCGACCCACAGACGCCAAAAATTCCACTCAACATAAAACTAAACCTTCTCAAAGTCACAACAAGAAAACGCAATAGCTCTCAACAGAAGACGACGTGTACACTGACCCAAGTTCCAATTCGACTCTATTCGGAACCGTATTGATGTTTTCGCGAGCGAGTTAATTTCAATTATTACACCTTTTGCCTCGTATTTTTTACTCGGCAACGTTTTACTATTTGGATTTTAGTCTTCGAACACTCAAATCTTTTTTTTTTTGTTCTATTCATTTAAATTATTTAGCCTTTTCTTGATATTGATAATAGTATTAGAGAGCTCGGTAATAATTGTAATTCTCGTTAAATATTCCTGTTTTCTATAAAATAAAACTTCATTGAGAGCCCGTCACGGCTGAATGAATAATACTTAAAAAGTCTGGTAGACTCTCTAGTTAACATTTCTGTATTGTTTAGTAGTGTTTAGTCGATGTTTCTATACAACATTATTTTTTATAACCTCTAAAAAGCTTAGATTTTACAGATGTATACAAATTTGTAAAACCTTCCTCGACTTTCTATTATTTACCTTCATTTTCTGATAAAACAGACCGATAATTACTGACATTACCCGCCTCTGAATTCCTTACATTTACTATAACAGAAATATACACTGAAGCTAATTCCACATCAGTAGCCTCACGCACTTTAAGCGGATTGTAGCTTATCGCCTTACAGACATGCTCACCTATTTTTTCAATAGCAAAAAATGGTTTTAAAAGTATAATAATAATGCTACTTACCGAGAAAAAAAGGCAACAAAGCCTTGATCCTTGAGTCTTTCCTAGTGGGTTTTTCGAATTCCGTGACTCAAATAATTAAGTCCCTAGATGGGGGTCTTTGGGTGAAATTATACATTGTTATTGCTACTATAAATCTCATTTTGGGTGAACGTACCCGGACAGAATAACAAATAAAGACATAACAAAAATTTCATAACACATCTCAGACAAGGCGAGAATGTTTTTAGTTATATTAAGTTAACACGGCAATATTTTTATTAGGTACTTGAAGTTTCAAATGATTATTTTATTTCTATATTATCAGGATTTTTTATTTGATAAACGAAATAAATGTTTTTCTACTAACTTACTTAAAGAAGTAGTAAAGAAACACTGACATAACTCCACAAATGCCTGTTAATACAGTATCAAACAAAATACCACGTGTTTGTGATCCATTAAATTAATATGATAATAATATGCATATAATCATATAAAGTAGAACAACCAAGTATATAACTTTTATTAAAAAAAATATAGACTTAAATGCGATAGTTTTCAAAGTAAGGAGAGTTTATAAACTTTGGCAGAAAAATCTTTTAAAAAAAAGTTGAACCGACTTCAAAAAATACTGACAAAGAGCACTCAAAATTAAAGTATAAGAACTAGAATAGGTACCCTCAATATAACAGGTAACGTTATAATAGCAATAGCAGGGACTATCAGTCAGTTTGAAGTCGGTGCCAAGCCCGATGCACAATAAGTAATACTGGTCTATGTCAACTTTATATTATCACAATAAAAAATTAAGAAGTAAATATAATTCTAATGAAACAACGCAGATTTTATATGGGACCACCTCGGGAGCATTCGATTACAAAATTAATTTTGAAAATCGGTATACAGTTGACAGAGATATCGCGTAACAAACATACAGAATAAAAACTACAAATACAGACGACTTGATAACCTCCTCTTTTGTTTTTTTGAAGTCGGTTAAAAAATAAAATATTTTCATGTTCACTTTATGTAATAATATATGATACTAATCCTCTTAGAGTTAGGGGAAGCTAACTATTGAAGTTTTAAGTCCGTCCTGTAACTTAATTTTCCTTTTCTATAACAATCTCTTCACTACTGGGAGCCGAGAAACATTAAACTGTCTTGAAACCGCTTGTGAATTTAATCCACGTTCCGTTCACATTGTCGGTGGCTGCCACAGTTTATATGGGTATTAAAATAGTAGCGTCTCAGGCTTAGTGACATTGTAAATATTTTATGACCGTGCATATTTTTCATGGTAATACTTTACCTATTTCTCGGCAAGAGCAAAAACTAACCGAGACGGCTTGTCAAAATTGTTATTGCGAGTTTATTGGCACATTCATTGAAATTTGTTAGTTAGTTTGGATATTGATTTGATCACTCGTTTGTTAGAATAGGATCGTTCATGTCCAGTAAGATATGATACTACACAAGCATACAGTAACTCTGAGAACTTGTACGAGATTAAATATGTACATTATGCATAAACAAAATGAACACCTAAGTCACTACTACTATATGGAGTTACTATTACAAAAGGAAGCGCGTACATGGTTACGTAAGCCAGAGGCTTTTCTAGGAATTCTTTGACTTTCTACGTATTAATATATTAGTATATTAATTTGAAAACAAACGGACAAGTGCGAGTATTGCCTTACGCGCCCAGAGTGCTGTACAAATTTGAATCAAATTAGTTAATTCATCTCGGAAATTGACTTTAAACTTATAACAACCTTCGGTCCTTCTCGTCTTCTATCCCCCATTAGAAATTACTAAATGTTTGACATTGCTTGAACATAGCTTTGTGTACAGACTTACATGCGTAAAGTATCCTATATATGTATTTGCGAAAGTTTGCAGACACGCTTCGTCAAGGTTCTCGGCACACACAGAGCCAATCTGTTATAGTCATCTCTACGTCAGCGTCTTGATGCAACCAAATGGCGGATCCCGTACATGTCTATGCATCTATGTTACATGTTTGCAATATTTATATGAAATGAAAAGTTTTCGTTGCAAATAGAAAACATGTTTATACTCAGAATATTGCTTAGTGGATTTACATATCCACTAAGACACATCGGTTTTTTTTTTTGCAGCGTTAAAGTATCAACACTACAGAAGAATGTTGCAGTCTTGTGTTTTCGCTGATGAGTATGTTCGGCAAAAGTTTTTCTTTTACTTCTTTTTAAAAAGACAACCAGAATAAAAATTAAAACATATAGCAACGGGAGAATTTATTTTAATATCATACTGTTAATGCAACCAGTGTAAAAGGTTTTTCTGTGGTTTTAAACGCCTCCTACCCCTGATATTACATAATTTGCCTTACTCTAAAATCCGTTCCGTACAAAGTTGTATAAATCCATATGTGTCCATATTTAAAACACTTTTTGTAAGATATTTTTCCATATGTTCAGAAAGACAAACTTAAAGTACGTTATAGACAAAATGCAAAATACATTTTGGAGTATAATCGTAAAAAATATTTTTAAACAAGCCATTCTCCGCACTTACACATTAATACGCCTTTTTTTTTTCCGTGCGGAAATCTCGGATACCACCTGTCGGTGGCATGTCGGACTCGAACCGACTAAAACCGCACGCCGTCTCGGGTACTTATAGCCGGGGAACCAGGTATACCCTACAAAAGGAAGTTCCTGGTACCCCGACATACCTCGGGTCATCTTCAGACGAGTAGACCAACCCCTCCCCCCCCCCCACATTAATACGCCTAAAGGTATATAAAAGTGTTACAAATAAAAAAAAACCATTAATAAGTACTAATCGTACTATTATAGTACGATTGGTAGTTATGCGGCGTAATTTTAAAGAAATGAGGACAATTTTGAATAACCTACGAAATGTTAAAATATGCTATGATATGAGACTGTTTTTAATTGCGTTGGCTAAGAAGCTTTTTGAAAGCTTCAACGAACCGTATTTATAAGTATTTTATGTTAATTTTAACTTACACCTCTACGCATTCCGGAGAAAAAGGGACAGAGAGATACCACTGAAATCACCGAAAAGTTTGTGCCATAATTTTTTATTGGTGAATTAAACAAAGTTTGTCATGGCTTGCAAATAAATAACGCTGATTAACTACACAATTAGGGATGGAATATTGTCGGTTACAAAAATCGAGTATGAAACTGAAAACTTATTGAAATAAACGGGCGCTCTGTTGCTTAACTTTTATGTGAATTCAGGTTAACTTCGTCAAAAATTAAAGTTTGCGGGGCTTCCTGTTGCACACATAATTCAGATAGTTGCGAAGTTTTAAATTTTGGAACTAAGTATACATTAAACTAGCTCCGAATTTCTCATTTTAACGAATTGCCGTTCTTACTTAGGGCACACTGAAAGTTTCTGGATTCTGAGTTTTTTTTTTAAATATCATACATATAGATACATTTATTGTTTTGCAAAGTATATTTTCTCGCAATTAAAACATTTTTCGCCATTCGCTGAAACCACTGTACATAGCAGTTGGACCACTCTTCCTTAGGGCCCTCTTTAATGGCTTTATGTAAAGCATTCACCGCCGATTCAGGGCTCATAAAACGTGTGCCTCTAAGTTGGTCTTTAATTTTTTGAAACAAAAAGAAATCGCAGGGTGCGAGGTCCGGGCTCAAATAGGCTTCTGTTACCTTAGCGGGATGTAAGGATGCGTTATCGTGGTGAAGGAAGATATTTAAAAAAAAACGCAAAATAAAAAGTAACATGTTCCCAAAGAGGTCCATTTTCGAATTCCATAATTGTTTTTTATTCTTTTACTTTAAGTGGCCAGGTCCAGAGACTCAGTATACCCCACATATATCGTTCTATTATGTTCTATCTTTTCTGGTTACATTCTGGCTATTATGATATTAATATACCAAGAAGATATAGCGTGTATACAATTTTATTAAAAGGTAAACAAATCATGGAATTTGACGATTATACGGATTATAAAATCATTTAATTCACTTAAAAACAATTACCATATTAAATTTTCCTCCATTGATAGCTAGGTGCTCTCTTTTAATAGCATCTACCGGCAGAACTATTATAGAATATTTCAATCTTTTTAATTAAGCTCTTAGTAGTTCTAAGTTCCAATATTCTTTTCATACCAATAAATATGTATTTCTTTAATTTACAGAGCAGCGGCGGTTGTCGTTCAGCGAGTACTGCGGGCGTGGGCGCCGTGACGGTCGCTAACGCAAGCGCGGGCGCGGGCGGCGCGTGCGCGGCGCGCATGGCAAGCGCGGGCGCACAGTACCGCGGCGGCGCGCAGCAGTGGGCCACGGCGTACGCGCCGCAGCCCTGCCGCTACCCGCCGCCGCAGGCGCAGCCGCAGCCTTACGCGACACCATACACGCCACACCAGGTATATTAATAAAATAACATCCACCAAAACTAAGCTATAACTATGATAACATTGGCCTTTTCTATCCTCCTTAATTAAACATTTGTATCTCCGAAGGATTATGTAGAGGCGTATTAAGCCATATATTGCCAAATATGATTTGGTCCCATTAAGATAGGGATGATAGGGATGTCCGTGGGGTACGGATTAAGAATACAAATTGTCACCACCCCAATTCATCCCGTGGGTGTCGTAAGAGCCGACTAAGGGACCAAACTAAGCAGGACAACAGCACTGCAAAGAGAAGGAAAACTTGAAACAAACCCTATACCAATCCGTCTGGCCAGCGTGGTATAGTAGGCCAAAACCTCCTTTCTAAGGAGAGGCCTATGTCCAGCAGTGGACTAGTATAGGCTGTTGATGTGTGAAGATAGGGAGCAAGCTCTTTGACGTCAACCGGTCATTTTATAGGTAGTTGTTGATAGAAAAATTGAGAGTATTTTGTAACGGTAAATAGGAAGGGCAGTAGTGGCAAGCAAGGGATATTGCTAATACAGATGAATTGGGGAGGATAAGCAATAGCCCAAACAGTAACTCGGACTATCCAATAATTTACTGTTACGTACAATATTAAACACTACATACTCCACTCTTAAGTAGTAATTCAGTAGTAAACAAAGGCCTCCTTGGCAGACTATTCAATAAGCGCGAAAAATGACAAAAATATGACGGTTTTAATGTCATCAATGTCATGTCCGATCTTAAAAAGGCGGTATTAAAGCCAGAACGTGTTGAGATGAACGAAAACGTACTGAGATCAAAATCAGGAGAAACCACGGACCACAACACAAAATGCTGGTGGCTGCTTTGAATTTGCTATATTGTGTTGCGGTTTTCGATCTACTTTTTCCTTAACAAACTTGCCTTTAGGTTACCTCTATCACCACAATTTTATTCCAGTGTCACCATATTCACATTGTCTTTGGTCATACAAATTTCTGTTCACAGCGTCAATTCCAATCACGTTTTTGCCCTAATTTAGTTTTAAACTGGAAAGCTCTATGAACTATTCTTTCTAAATATTGTAAAAATAGGATATTGATAAAGCCATTAATAACAATATTTAACACGTTTGTACAACTATGTTCATTTAAAATTTGAAGTTCATCTTTCGAGTTTTTTTTCACCAGCTCCTGTCTTAAGATATTCTGCACAAAAACAATGTCTGTACAGAATCACGTAGGGTCATTAATACTCTACCACCCTCTTTTTCTACTCACAACGCAAGTGCACCATAAATAACATATAATCTTTAGGCGGCGCCATGTTATGCATGTTGTAATGAGGTGTGTTTAACTTTATGATCGGATTTACGACCGACGCGCCTGGTGGTTCCACTGACTGCCGGACAACAACTCTTTCCTTAACTTTATGAAACATTTTGCTTTCAAACAACTGCGTAACAACGAATAAATTACTGCTAACAATGTTAAGTTTCCTGATTTACAAAGTTAATGCTATAAGTTTGTCACTAGTATTGAATTTATGTTATCAATAAGCACTGGAGTGAAATTAACAAGTAGCACACCCTACCTCCCCAACTTCAATATAACAGCTACGTTTGGCTACGTTGTTCTGATCTGGACTGGATAATTAACCGCAAAGTCGGGGAGTTGACACTGCTCCATCAATTTCTTCGCCCGCCACGACGGCTCCTGCTCGTTATGCATTACACACAAACAATGTTACGTGATTAATGCCTTCTCAGCGCACTTAAAACAACACAACTAGATCATGATTTGCATAAAACTAGTTAATTTACAAGTTACTGCGGTTTATTATATCGCTTGGTGTGCTACAAGTTCTGTTCAGTCGATACCAATATTGGAAATTTATAACATTTTTAAAAAATTTAATTTTTAACAAACAATCACAGTACTCCTGAACGTAGCTCGTTTATCAGTATGATATCGGTGTTTACAAATACTTGTAGCGATAATACTCGGCACACACTCTCAGCTCTAAATCTAACTCCCAGTAGAAAAACAGGGTCTACGGCTATGGCCAAAGTTTATCTCAGCGATTTAAAGGCTACATTACAGTGTCTGCGAATTATGTACACGACTGTTTTAAATTAAATATATCAAAATCTTCAAGAATGAAATTGCATTTCAGGATTGACGTATAACTACGTATTAGTTACATATTTTTTTGTCCACTGTTACAAATTAATATATGAACATAATTTAAAATCCAATCCAGAGTTTATTCCAAACAAATAAAATAAAATAAATTCATCATCATCATCATCAACAGCCTTTAATAGTCCACTGCTGGACATAAGCCTCTCCTTAGAAAGGAGGTTTTGGCCTACTATACCACGCTGGCCAGACGGGTTGGTATAGGGTTTGTGTCAAGTTTGCTGCTGTTGTTCTGCGTAGGTTTTTTGCCTTAGTCGGCTCTTACGACACCCACGGGATGAATAGGGGAACGGGATGAAGAAATTAGTAAATGACTATTGGTAAGCATACATAATGAATATATTGGTGATTAAACCTCCTATTTTTCTTAATCGGTTAAATAGACCTCATTTATAGCAAAATCATCAACTAAACAACAATAAACCTTCTCAATATTTTAAAATGTTCTTTGTCAGTTAATCAGAGTTGTATGAACTGTGTCGACAAAGTCTTGGTCGAGTGTTTACGACGCAGACACAAACCAGATGTTGCACAAAGAGCGTGTTCGTTGCACCTCACCACACTCCCCTCCACAGGAATCTCGTAAAAAGAATTTCTCTCGCCCTTATCGCTTTTCGAAATAAAATGTAGCTCCCCGCGTCGTACGTGTTTTATTACAACGCGTCTTCTTCAGGATTTATCTCATGGTCGCTACGCCGGTGCTGAACTTGATTTTTTGTACATTGGAAAACATTTGAAAAAGAAGTCCGCTTATTTGCTCCGTCCGTGTTCCTTTTTCTTGTGCAATTTAATATTGTCTAGGAATAATACGTTTTCTTAAAGAAGGTTTAATGTTTCTTCTATCTTTACTTTAGCTACTCTGGACGAGAAAATAATGAAATTTTACAGTATTTTGATTATAATGGCAATTTAATGCAATCCTTCTAGAGCGAATGTAGTTATGTAGTAATAATAATAACTTCACACATCTCACACACGGCCGCTCGACCCCGACTAGGCAGAGCATGTGCTATGGTAACCAGACTGATATGCTGAAGATGCTGATACACATACCTACTTAAATATTTCTAAATACACACGTTTTATAAATAAATTCATCCAGACACAGAACAACTGACCAAAAGTAAAGAAAATGTTAAACTGTTGAAAATGTTAAAATTGACAATTCTGGTGGACAATGTCGAAAAAAAACCGCTTGACTTATGTCAATTATCACATCGCACACATCAACAGCCTTTGAAAGTCTTTGATGTCAATTATGTCAATACTATTAATAAACATGTGTGATGATGTCCTTCTACATAGATAGAAATGTCCTATGTTATTACATTATTTTAGTCCGATCAGCGACTTCACGTATAATTTAATGTTAAACGAAAAATATTCACGCTGAGTAAAGATTTGGTTCTTAATTTTCAAAAACCTTTTATACCTTACCTTATTTGAAAACTAATCGAAAACTGTGTATAAAAAATCAAAGGTGACAATAGTAATCGTTATTTTATTCAATGTTTTAGTAAACGCCGACGTTGATAGGGCTTCCCAGCTCCAGTTTGTAGTCGTAACGTATATCTATGACTCGTTGATTAATGACCGGAATATGTCAGCTGTCTGAGCTGTCACAACTCCGAAGCTTGTTAGATTCATCGCGCCCCTTCCCAAATATGGCAGCCCTAAATAGAGGTTACGTTTTTTAGTAAAGGACCCAACGTTTTTATCGTAAGGAGTGACAGAACTGTCTCGTCTCTAATGCGTTTTACGTCTGAGACCACCCTAATCCGTTACAATGGATCTATAAATACACACACATAAGTACATATTTTGTAGAAAATATAATATTTTTATCTTTTATAGTATGCAACCGATGAGAGACTAGCAACTAACTATGTAATGTTATGAGTGGATGTGGCAGTAGTCAGGTCAACTGTGGACACACACAGCCTATCGTAGTACTTTTTAAAACAAGTTTTATAAAATTCACAGCCTGGATACATTTTTTGTTGAGCATATAAACGATTAATGTATGTTATGTTCGGTAATGCGGCCGCAATTTTTTTCCAATCAGCCAAACCAAACCCGTTCTGCATACAGACAATACTAATAGTACTTGTTTTACTTATTAGTTACTTATTTATTAAAGCGTAGTATTAATCCGCAGTTTAACCCACATCCTTTTCTTTGCTCCCAAAAGAAATAGATATTATATCTTCTATAAGCTTTGTTAATAAACTGATTATTTTCAAATTAAATAAACTGAAAACCAGGACTGCTAAGTTAATATTTGTGGAAAATAAGTTCTAAAAGCTGAAACTTACAATATCTAATATTCAAAACCCTTCAATTAAAAGTAAAAACTCTCTTCACTTAAACATTTAGCAATAAATTTAACATTTCGTTAACCTATCCTAAATCCATACGGTCTGCGCTTTCCTGGCGTAAATAGAGATTAAGTTTCGTAATATTATTGTAACCTCTTTCTCTTTTTTTTTCTTGTTAAAAAGATAAATTCCTCACTAGGAATAAATACTGTATCGTGGGGGACTTTACAAACATACATGAAACGGATACAAAGGACACCCAGACAAAGAACAACGATTTGTGGAATGGATATAGTCTGTAATAATTAGCTGTGGCAAAAATACTACAGGATTAAAGGCAGTCATAACTTTCCTCGTTTGCCATTAGACTTGGTTCATTCTCCCTCACACGAACTCAAAGATTATGCTGATGTATTTAAATATATTCGCAGCGGTGAATTTTTTTGTTAAAGAAATTACCACATTTATTTTCGGAGGTTTTGGTAGCGTATAATTTATATTT